CTTTGCTCCTCCTGGCTGTGCTGTAGGACCAGGCCTACTTTATGGAGAGAATCTTAAGAGAAAAGCGATCTTCCTTAGAAAAAAGATTCAGATCCCTTGGAAGAGGAATATAGGAGATAGTATCAACAAGAAAATCATCAAAAATCAACAAAAACGACATTTATTTTACAGAAGGCATTCAAAGACCAGTCCATGACTACAGAGTATGTAGCAGATAAAAGATGTCTTTTTGACTTCTTGAAGTTAGCAGCAGGAACAAAAATCTTTATCTCCAAGCTCTGCAGATTTAAAGGAAATGTTATTTTACTAGAAGGTTGTATGCTTTTATGGAGATGGAAAAGTTTCTTCAGGAGTGCATTTATCTTTGAAGAGAATAGCAAAGATTCAGATAGAGGGCATAGCTCAGAGCATCTTTCCATCATGAAGCTGTGTACTGTGTGTCCTCCTGGACTAATAAATTCTAAAAACTAAGTTAAAAATACAGTTAAAATGGCATTATAATGTGGCAGAAAAAATGGGAAGAAGGAGGAAGGGGTTGTTCTCTTTTACGATGTTTTGGCTGTTCTGCTAATAAATGGCCTTCTTCACTGTCAGAATTTTTGAGGTCAGGGGCCTTAGCCAAAGAAGGCTGATATTTATTTTTCCATCTTAAATGCATATCTGTGTGTAAACATCTTCATGTAAATCAGTGTTACATATCTAAAGTATTCAATATAGAATTACTAATATAATCATGCATTTCTAATATAAAACACCTCCTGATCCCAAGGCTGATGTGTGACATAAGTTGTCCTGTGAATATGGTTTGAACTTCAGGCCAAGCTTTGCAATGAAAATGTCAGGTTTTATACCACAACTATCACAACTGTGATGGCATAATTGCTGAATACACTAGAAATGGGGAACCCATACGGAGTAGAACAAGAAGTGTTGGATAACACAGTTGTGATTTGCTGAGTTTTGTGATAAGTCCAGGATAAAGTTTTGAACAAGCATGAAATTTGAGATGGTAAATTAATTATCTGTGAATTTTGAAGTGTGATGTAGTTAGAGGTTTTAAAATGTTGATTGCTTTATTTCACGGTTGCAGCTGAATTTCTTTTCAGCTTGTGGACTGTCTGCTGTTTGTCAGTGCACTTGAGGGAGTGTTACAGTTTGGTCTTTTGAACTATGTCTTATAAAACTAATACTTGAGATAGTATCTTCTTGTTTGTGGCAACTAAGATCCTTCTGAGATGGAGAAGTTACGGGCTATTATTAGAATTTACACTTACTGTTTGTGTACTTTCATGTGGCACAGTTCCTGTTTGGGGTCTCTTTTATATGGATTACAGTTGTATTGGGGTTTCACTGCACGTCAGTGCTGCTGGGAAGCATCCAGGCTGCAGGAGGATCTGGGGTTCGTTCTTCAGGTGCCATGACTGGGATTGACCTGGGTCACCTGGAGAAGAGTCTTCTAAGGCAAGGGCCTTCCAGGAGAAAGGGTGAGCTTTGCTCAGCTCCTCAAATCCATGGGTCTTGTCACCTCAGAGCTTTGAAGAGTGAGATGAGTCATTTTTTGGTCAAATGCAAGGAGTCATTTTTACTTCTTAGTGAAACTCCGCTCTTGGGGAGCCAAAACAGTTCTAAAATTCATGCCATGTTAGTTCCAACACATAGGAAATTCAGGTATGCTTTTATCACTATGTGTGGGCTGATGGCTGTATTTTTCTGGTTTTGTGAGGGTGTTTCAGCTGTTGAAACCAGTGAGGCAGAGTGGCTTTAAATATTTGCAAAACCTTTGTTTTCACAAGGGAAACACTAAATATGTCTGTACTGCCTCTCTTCTTGATAGAAACTAGGAATGTTTTCATGCAATGAAGTCAAGTTAACATTGATGTAAGCTAGACAAGACTCAATTCCTTAATCTTCTACTTCAGCTTTGCTAAATAAATGACTTGACTTTATATAAAATGCCTGCAGGGATAAAAACCTGAATATCTATTCACAGTTTGAGATTTTTTAACTATTGGTTGATTCTTGGACAACTCTCTAATGCTCTTCTGAGAAGTAGCTGCATCAGTGTAGGCTGGCTTATAAAGTGAGAAATTCTTTGAAAAGGAAGTTATTTCCTGAGGAGCATTTTGCTGATGACCACCATAATTACGAGAAGTGGTATAATTTAAGGATCCTTTTTCTGACTGTCAAAGTGAAAAGATTTAGCACTCTGCTCCTGAAGCTCTGGCATTGTTGGTATCCAACAATCCGTTGCCTGTACAGGAGCTGCAATAAGAAAGTGGTACTTGTTGATTTGAGTGTCATACACTTTGTGGTAGACATCTGCTTTGTAAGGAAGTAATTGCTCTTCCTAAAGTTGCTGTTGAGTGAAATGGCTCCAGTTAAGAGGGCAGAACAAGGTCTTCACCTTCAGTAGCATGTAAAAGTCAGCAGTAGCAGGGCTTATAATGGGGCTGGGGACTTGGTTTTGAACCAGTCAGGTTTAAATGGCCAGGAGTTGGCCTCTTTCTTTGTTGTACTTTCTAAGACAAAATATTGTCAACACAAGCCCCTAAATTGCCAACCTGATTAGGTGCTGCCAAGAAGCTGTGAGGTGAACCGGCATTGCCTCTCTGTCTGTGGGCTTCCTGCAGGTGAGGTGACCTCCCTGGGAAGCTGTGGGTGGCACGAGCCCTTCCCCACCTCACCACAGAACCTCTGTTTCCTGGCCTGTGTCTCTGCCAGGTGTGTATTCCTCGATGCATTTGCACCCCCAGCACTGCTGTCTCCTGCCAGCGAAGGGATGAGGTCTGGGACTGAACCCCCGGTGCTGCCTTTAGCGTGCAATAACATTGCACAAACTACCACTCACCACAGATCAAGGCCACAGAATGAGATTTCTGCATATATGTGCGGTTTTGGCTCTCTGCTTGATTTATCACTGATGTGAGGATTTCTGATGATATGCTACTATTTTTGGTGATTTTCTTCCTTTGCAGAAGGCAGTAAAGCAGGAAGCCAAGCAATCTGCATTGTACCGCTGCTTTTCGGAGGAATACTCATTCTTTTGTCTTAAGATGATTTTGTTAGATATTTTCCCTGTAAAGACTAGTGTGTGAACAATTATTGTTTGTCATATTCCTGGGTTGTTACAACTAGTTATCCTGCTTGAAGTCTGCAGATAGAGACTAGCAGAAAAAAAAGCCATGTGACTAATTCTTATATATAGCAGTTTCATACTCCAGTTTTCTTAGATTGCTGATGTGATTAACTGTTTAACTGTAACTGTTCATATTTAGAAATTATTATTTGAAAGCAAGTATAGAGGCTCTGGAAAAAAATAGTAAAAATAATAAAAATTAGTAAAAATATTAACACTGTGGTCAGCCTTGTTATTGAGAACTACTGGGAGTGTGGGCTGTTTCTTTTTCCAATGTACCCATCTACTTTGTCATAGTGGGAATCAGAAAACAGTAAAAAGAGAGTACTTTTTCTTAACCATCAGTGGAATTATCTGGTCCTTCTTATTTCTGTTTTCTAAATGTCTTACTGCATCTCCATAAAGAGCTGTGAAATCAGTGAGGTGTGAGCTGAGCTCCTCCATGCCATCAGAAAAGATCAGATGCAGTACCTGGCTCTGCAAATGAGAAACCCCTTGAAATCAAGAGCAGCTCATAGACGCAAGTTAAACCCATGATTCTTCGCCAGCACCATATTCTTTTTGCATCTTGGCACCATTAAATTGAAAGAATGCAGTCAGCAAATTTGCACTTCAGTTTTTTTAATTAGTACCCTGGGCATTTTAATTCATGGCAGATTTTTTTATAAATAGTGTATCACAGTTATTTTAAGATATCTTTAAAAAGAATAGAAGGTTATGCTCTTTGGGTTTGGATGCGTTTGTTTTGGCCCACTCTTCCCCTGTTACGTGTTTAAGTTTATAATGAAGCAAGAGTAATATCTGCAGTATCTGCTTTCAGTAAGACATTGGAATTTGTACTATTTCTGAAGCCAGAAGTATGAATTTGATTTGTGTGAATATTATTTTCCCTCATGAAGGCTTGTTGATTTTAGTTAGCACCCCCAGAGATGCAGAGCTTCACCTTTGTACATTGAACACTCGTGCAGCATTTAGATAGGATTGGCTGTGCACAAACCTAGTTGAAAAACACAAGAAACAAGAGTAAACCTGAAGGATTCTTTTCCTATTTTAACTGGTTTTGCTGCTTTTTGTAAATATTACAGACAGAAAATGCTCAGATGGAAAGGTGACTTTCAAGTTAGTGTCCCCTCTGCCTCTTTATTTTTAGGAGGTTTAAAAGGTCAGAGTGAAATCTTGGTCCTCTTCAAGTTGCCAAGAACATTTCCGCAGCTTTAGTAGAGCCAGCATTATACACCCCCACCCCTGAAAGAAATAGAGAATGTGAAATGCCTGTGGTTGTTTATTTATACTGAGGTGCATTCATTCAATAATATGTGCTTGGTTTTAAAGCATAACTGTCTCTGAGTCTGGTAAGTAAAAAAATAAATTAATTCAGTTTGTGTTCTCTGTTTCTCCTGCCCTGGTATGCATTTCTAGCAACATGGGAAGGCAGTGGTTGGTGGGGAGATTTGCTGTGTGCTGGGGGATGCTCCTGGCAGGTTGAGTTACGGCAGGGGAGAAGCTGTAGCCAGCCTGGGGGGTGCTGCTTGCCTGGGCCAGCTGCAGCCGTATATTGTGGTCCGTGAGCTGCAGCTTGAGGACCATGGCACTGCATCATGCTGCAGACAAAGTGCTTGTCTCTGCTGTCTATGGAGGCTATTGTTCACAAGAGTAGGACAAATGTACCTGAAGTGTCTGTTTTCCCTCATATTCCTTAGCCAGGTCATTTCAATCTCTGCTGTTTTCACTGACTAGTATGGCTCTTCCCTGGATGCTGTATGAAATGTCTGCTGCTGGCTTATTTGAAAAAAAATAAAGCCTGCCTGAATACCCTGATGAGAAGTCACTTTGTGCCATGAAGGATGAGTGGCAGTGACAGTGTATGCTAAGCCGCCTCCTCAGTCAGGAGTGTGCTTTCCCTGGGGACAGCTCTGGCAGTGAAACCTCTCCTCCTCATCCCTCTGGTGTGGCTGTTCACTCCTCTCTTGGGTCTGGGACTTTTCCTGCTCTCAGCCCTTTCAGATCTTCTGATGCACAGGGAGAACCTCAGGTGAGATGGTTTCTGATGCAAGAGCAGCCAGAAGGTGTTTGCAGAGACAGGGAGAGTAAAGAGCCCTGGGGTCCCTGCACACAAATGTCACTGTCGATCTCTTCAGGAGACAGGACAGGATATACTGCAATACATTTATCTGAAATGCTGTTCTTCCTTGAGAATACTTAGGGTAATATTAATTTTTAGTACTGTTGTCTCCATGTCTCTTCTTCAGATGGTTAGTTGATTTCTAGTTTTCTGTTTCTTTGATTACTTTTAGATTTCAGAATAGACGGGACTGAATAAGAAGACTGAGCTGTATTTGTAGAAGACTTAATCTTCCAATCAGTTTCCTCTGAATTAAACCAAAACAGCAGTATCAAATCCAGGAATCCTATTAAAGATGACCTACATAGTGGGAATAAATTTGGGCTTGTATCTTCTTTTGCTTCCTAATCTACTGTCAGGAACTCTGTGAATATTTTCCTTAAAGCCCGTTCATTTTTTATTGCTGCTAAAAACCTGATTCCTGGCCTGGGTAGTATGCTCTTGGATGGAGAACCAGGAGTGGAAGGGTATCTCAAGCTGAGAGGGTAGTGAAAACTGAGCCAGTGCAATGTGATGGGGATTTAGCCCTTGGTTGTAATTAAAAGGGTTCGTCAATAGAGCTTTAGCACAGAGTGGTTCCGCCAAACCCTGCAAGGAGATGGGAGGTTATACCAGGGAGATAACTCTTCTGTTAGTGTAGCTCCCATCAGTTCTCCAAATGGAGCACATTAAACTGCTGCTTCTCTAGGTCTGTTGCTTGGGGTAGCTGTGTTGGCTAGGAATTTGTTTTCCTTTTTACTCATGCTAAAATTGTATTATTATTCTGGAAAATGTTTCAAGAATAAATCTGAACATTTACAAATCAGATTGCTTTATAAATTTCTCAAAATCCATAAAACGGATTGCTGGATATTTATGAGTCACTAAGAGTTCAATGTTTAATTGACATCTCAGAGAAAAAATGCTTACTTAGAAACTAAAACATTGCACAGTCTTAAGATATAATTAAAAAGTAAATGTTTAGCTTCTGAGACGACTTCTACTTCTTTATAGTGGAAGAAAGGTATTAGCATTTCTGGTATTTTTGGAAAATACTGCTGGAAAACAACAATAAGGGGCTGGAAAAAAACCCAAAACCCTTATTGCAATACATTTCGGCAGGAATGAACAGAAAGTTAAAAGCCTGGTTAAAGATTAAAGGCACTGCAGAACACTGAATGCAGAAAAATGAGACGTGGCTAAAATGCGTTTGATTGTTTCTGTAAATACAGGTATGTAGGAATGAAAACTGACTCATTGTTCAGATGAATTTACTGAACAGTTTCTAAAAAAAGTATGCAAGAATAATAAATGATTTAGTCTTTCAGTTGTCTACAGAGAGAAGATCCAGTTCATGAGCGTAATGATGGCTCCAGTGTTTACTAATTATTCCAGTAAAAGTAATAGGAAGTGTGCACATGGCTTATCCTGAGAATGCAGTCAAATGCTGTGCATGTTGTTTCATAGGCAGAATTTTACAACATAATCTTAATGTGCATTTAAAGGCATTCATTTTCCTGGGAATCATATCCAAAAATTATTTTTACCAGTGTCTGTCTTTTAGAATACAATGAGGCTTTAGTTTGTTAAATTAAAATTGCCATGCCCTCTTGAGCAGCATTATTTGTGGAGAACAACACTTCCCCCTGTGCAGAGTACAGAGGAGGGTAAGAAAAGGCTTTTCTTCCCCAGTATTCATGCTTTTAGAAAGAGGAGGTTTCAGCAAGCTGATGTGCACGTGCTGGTGAATCTGTTAGAGCTCGACCTAAGGAGCTTTTTGCAAAGAGATGGAGAGGAAGAGAGACAGGGCCAGGAGCAGAGCGCCCTTGTGAGTTCCTCATAGCCCTGACTTATCTCCTGTGGGCTCCTCTTGTTCTATAAACATCTTAAAGGTAAATGAAAGCCAACTTGGCTTTGTTGTCTGCTCTGTCTCTTCCTCTGCAGCTCTGAATCCTGCTGCTCAGCTGATGGGTTTGTGTTTTAATTACTGGACTAGTTGGTGCAGATGATGGTGATGTAGTTTTAGCTTCCTTGGATGTAGCTGTTTAGGAGTAATGTAACAAGACTAGAACTTTGCGTTTTGCAAGGCCAGGATAGCACTTACTCTGAATCTAGAGAGATAGCTTTAGTATGCTTTGTAAGCATGGTGGTACCACACTTTAAACTTAGTTTGCTGTGGAGAGGATATATGTGGTTAAGAGAGCAAAAGATTTTTGAGCTTTGTGATTTTTCCACCAAGTTTGTGTCAGGGGTGTTACTAGAACCAGATCCCTTTCTGAGTCCAGAAGTATGGATTGTGGGTCATTATTGCATAGGGGTACGTGTTAATGTTTTCTGCAGAAAAACTCCCGTGACCACATAGAGCACAAGAACCAGGTTTGGTTAAGTATACTCAGAAATTTAAAGGTGTTATTCACTTTTCAGGGACCCTGTTTAGTTTAAATATTTCATGAAAGCGACTGTGACTACAGCTCATATCAAGAGTAATGTTTAATATCAGTTCACTACATCGGAGCTAAATCAAATGTTTCATGTCTTACTTTTTCTTTGCTGTGCATGCTAGTATCCAATGCAGAGAATGACTAAAGCTCACAGATCAAAAAGTGACATTTTACAGAAATAATAATCTGAAATTTGGTATTTTTCTGTTGTGCTTTCATCATGAAAGGAGTATAACTGTAAAGATCTTTCCTTGGCCCTGTGTTCTGTGCAGGAGTCCATACTGCTGTGTGCATTGCTGCTAACTCCCATTAGCAACACCAAAATGGCAGCTGTGCCATCCCTGTCTTTCCTTCTTCACCGAGAGCAGTTAGCCAAGCTTTTTCTTACTAGATATAAATTTGTTAAATTCAGCTGTGAGAATCTCCTCCTCTGCATGTTTCCCTCCTCCATCCCTCAGCTTCTGCATACCACAGAGCCCTTCTGGAGTTTGCTGCTGGGGCAGGTCACCATCTCTGGATACAGGAGTTGCTCTCAGCTCCTTGGAGTTGCGACTAAGTTTTCCAAAAGACTTGCACATTTCTGTCAAACTTGCCCACCATGTGAATTACAGGCAAAGCTTTCTAAAACTGCACAGATAAAATAGTTGGTCTGAAGGTTTCTGACATCTATATTTGTAAATATATGACTATGGAAATAGAGTTTGTCAAAATTCAGCCTGGCACAAGGAAGAACAATGTTGTTGAAGATTACAGAGTTGCGCTGGTTTACATAACTCATGTTGGACCATAGTTTATATAGTAATTATACATTAAAGATAGCTAATACTTCCTCATATAAAATAGTCTCCATCTTGATGAAATGCTATTATACTAATTACAGTACTTAGAAATTTTTATTTCCTATTCTGTAATTTATAGTCTCTCATTTTTCCTTGTTTTGTGAGGAGAGGAAAAGTCATATAGGTCAAATATATTTTACATTTATTCCTCATCTGTGCTTCCTTTTCTTCTTCTTCTCTATTCAGAAGTTTATAGAGTTTGAAGATGCGCTGGAGCAGGAGAAGAAAGAGCTACAAATCCAAGTGGAACACCTTGAATTCCAGACTCGACAGCTGGAGCTGAAGACCAAAAACTATGCAGATCAGAGTAAGCAAAGTTGTACACTAGACATGATTATACACTTTGCATTACACATGCATGTACTGCTACTTTTAAAATATTTTTCATACTTTTTGTTTTAGTGTAACTTACACAAAGCCTGGAATGTCTGGTTATCCCTTAACTTGATATAAAATTCAGAGCCTTCTAAAGGATAGGATGTAACCACATTACTTTAGTAATGGCTTAATTGCTTTTGTGTGGGGCATGCTCAGTTTCTTGAGGTGCAAGATTTTGGGCATTTTGGTGAAGCTTCAGAACCTGGTTTCCACTTTCTCCTTGTCCCTGCATAGTATGTCACATTTTTTTCTTACAGAAACTATCACATTTGTTTGTTTTGTCCTCAAATAGCCAGAGGTGCCTATCCCAGAGGATGATTTAAATTGTTGTCAAAGTAGGACACTTATAGAGCACCAGTGTACTGCTGAAGAACTCTTCTTCTTTGTTCTTAACTGTACTATTTGGTCTGCTCATTTTGGGAACATGCAGGTACCCGTGAATTGAGTTTGCAGTGAAGACCAGATCCTGCAGTATGCATTATTGTTTCTGTTTGTTTTGTTCAGTAGGCATAAATTAATCTCTAACAAAATAGGATTTGAGACTTCTAGTTTCTTTTGAGGGCCTGAAGTGTGTTAGCTAATGTTTGGAATCTTCCCTTGGTAGTTTCACGACTGGAGGAACGTGAATCAGAAATGAAGAAAGAGTATAATGCTCTACATCAGCGTCACACAGAGGTAGGATGTCATCTCATTATTTCTAAATAAATAAACTCTTAGCCTATATGTAAAATCATGTCAGAGAATTCAGCTTTACAGTTCTAGTTATGACTAGAGCTTCTGAACTTTAGGAACATCAAAAATATCTCAGTGGAGGGTGTAAAGAGAAGGGAGCCAGGCTCTTTTCAGTGCTTTCCAGTGACAAGACTGGAGGCAACTGGCAGAAACTGGAACACAAAAGGCTCCATTTGAACATGAATAAAAAGTTCTTTACTGTGAGGATGAGGAGGACTGACACAGATTGCCCAGAGGCACAGTGGAGTCTCCATCTTTGCAGCTATTTAAAAGCCACATGGGGCAACCTACTATAGGTGGCCCTGCTTGAGTAGGGATGTTGGACCCGATGGACTCCAGGAGGTTCCTTCCAACCTCAGCTGTTCTGTGATTCTGTGAACAGTGCCCCACTACCTTGTCTCTCACTGCTAATGAGCCTCCAGGAGATGTCTTACATTATTTTTGGATATGCTCTTTCATGGCTCTCCTGTTATGAGATTAAGTTTAGGTCATTTCTGACACTATTTGCTGTCAGAGTTCCTGTCAGATTAGTCCACTCATTTATATCATCAGTTTAGAAGACAAGAGCAAATAGAAGGAGATGTGCAAAAAAGAGAAAGGGAATTGGAAATGGATGCTGGAGAAGATCAAACGACAGCAGAAAATTAGTCTTTTCTTCTCCTCTGTTTGGCTCATGGATTTTTCTCTCCTCACAGATGATCCAGACCTATGTGGAACACATTGAGCGATCCAAGATGCAGCAGGTTGGGGGAAATAATCAAACTGAGGGCAGTCTACCTGGGAGAAGGTAGGGCTATAACCTCTCACTGTAATGTATGCCATCTGGGGATTTACAAACTGAGTGCGTGTATTTGAGAGAGAGGAACCAGAAGCAAGATCTTCCCCGTGAGCATGGATTATAGTTGAAGGTTTTTTGTAATGGGCTGTAGATGAGGTGTGGGTACATATTCTAATGCTTGATGACGAGGAGCTTTATGTGTTCTGTTACAAAGCTTGGGCTTTGTCACACTGCTATTTATGGGGGGGCTCTAGAAAAATAATTTGTATTCTCAGGTAGCATGTAAAAGGTTTTTCTATGAGGTGGATGGAGGTGTCAAGTAAAGTATCTGTTTGTGTGTGTGAGTGTGTGTCTTTGTATGTGTGATAGCTAGCAAAACCATAGCAATTAAATGCGTTCCCTGTTCCTTCAAGGGAAGCTTTCTCTAAGAGTCCCCAATAGACCTACGTATGTCCAAGTAATTGATTTTCTTCCCTCTCTGCTCCTCCCCTGTTTTTAGAGCACCAAACCAGTAAGAATCAGCCTTTGCTTAAAGAAGGCAGGGGTAGGGAAGAAGTTCAGTATATAGAAGAACTAGTCTTTTGTAGTCTTAGTACAAATCTGAAGCACAAAAGTTGCAGTTACTTTGATTTCAGTACAGATACACCTGGTTTTAACTGTTAAGTGAAGGAACCAGATGCTTTCTCTCTGATGAAGACTATACACCAGTAACATTGCCCACAGGGTGAGAAATAGAAGTGATGTTCCATAAATACTGGTTAGAGAATAATAGATCACATAACACATAATGTACTCAGATTAAGCATAATCTGTTAAATCACTCAGACATAAAAAAAGATGTTTTCTGTCAAAATTTTTGTTCATGGTAGATTACTATTTGTGTTAATCATCACATGCTAATGAGATGATTAACACTATAGTGACACTGCCTAACCCAGGAAGTTCTAATCTAAAACAGGGAAGCAGTATTGACCAAGTAATGTGCTGCGGGAGATGAAATCTTTTTATTGACCTTTCCTGTCTTTTTTTTTTTTTTTTTTAACTTTTAGACTTCTTCTGGCCTTGAGGAATGTTAAAAGTTTTTGCACACATGTGGAGTTGTTGGTCTGAAAAATAGACAGTACCAGCTGTGCAGGCATACTTGGAAAAGAGTGCCTGCTAGGTGTGTCCCCCTTGTCTCTTATAAAATATGTCTGACTGATCTTAGTTAATATCTGTGAACTTCAGCTGGTTAATATCACTGAGCTTCACTGAAAACTGAAATCTTTGGGAGGCATTAGGCTAAGAAAAGGAGTGGGGTTGGCATGTCAGACTATACACAAAGGGCAGCATGGGCAAAGACATGGAGATGAAAATACAGGGAGAACAGATAAATGGAAAACCATGAAGGTTTTTGAAGTATCATCTGGTAAGGATGATGAAAATTCAAAAGAAGAGCATTGAGCAAAATTTGGAGATGAAGAAAGAGCAAAATTATTTTAAAATAAAAAATAAATATATTAAGAAAAAAGGAAGAATAAGTGAGGATATTTTAGTAACTTGTATTTAGGTCTGTAACACTTAAATACCAGAATGTCAGTTCTTTTTGGACTAATGTAATAGAAAAGAAATTTCAGGTCCTGGCATAGGACACGTAAATACCTTTGTGTCTGCTGTGGCTCCCTGTTGCTGGATTGGACTGCTCTGGAAAAGACTGAATTCAAGTTGCTAAAGTTTTGGTCGTGTATTGTAAGAAAGAAAAAGAGAGAGAAAAAGAGACCCAACCCCTTCTTGTCAATAAAAGAGGCTTGAAGGATGGAAAGGGAGTAGTAAAAGACATGAGTCTTCAGAAACTTTGGTAACTAGCTTGGTACTTCTGCTGATTCTCTGCAGGCTTAGTGTCATACAGTATCCTGAGATGGAGGGGACCCGTGAGGATCATTGAGTCTAACTTCTGACTGCACATAACTCAAAGGTTAAACCATGTATCTAAGAGCATTGCCCAAATGCTTCTTGAACACCATCAGGCTTGAAGGTGTGACCAAGTCCCTGGGGAGCTTGTTCCAGTGCTTGACCACCCTGTCAGTGAAGAATTTCTTCCTATACTGTATATTGGCTCTTGTATTACCTCCCATAATAATTAAAGATACTTCTGTAGTCTTGGCTACAGGAATATCTTGCAGCTGGAGGATACTGGTATCTCAAAGAAAGATCCTTGATTTATTTTGATTGAGTTGATAAGGTTTTTATACTCTCATTTGTAAAGCTACCAGAGCCTTACATAAGGGAAGACACAGTTATATGTGTATCAAGGGGGACTGTTTACCCTTCCTCTTCTGATGGTCAAATAGTCCTTTCAGAAAAGAGTATCTTACAGTATTTCTTCTGGAGAGGAGTGACTAAAGGCTGTTGTAGTTGTTGAGTGGGCTGTGTAGTGAGTTATCATTGTGCTCTGTTTTCTGCAAAACAGTAAATCAGTCTTACAGTAATTACAGAATACAGTGTTTGGTGTCTGGCTAAAACTGGATTGTCTAAAATATAAAAATCTATTGGAAAAAAAAATCGAAAGATAGATGGCAGCCTTCCTAGGCAAAAGATACAGGTATGAGGGGTGTAGGGAACCAGCAGTTTGTAGGTGTTCTTCTGTTGATAAAATCTTCCTTATCAGACCATTCTGCTTCCTCTCCGATGCATTTTGCAGTCTGGAAGTCCACAGTGAGCTCCCAGAACATTGTCTGATCCAAGTATTACAGCTGAAATGGTATATAAATGTGTGAGGGTTGTTTCCCTTGCCCTTCTGTAAATAAGTACTTCCACAGATATATTTTTAAAAAGTAAAATATGAAAGTACTGTAGGCAAAAGCATGCTTAGAGCCTTGTTTAAAGGGTGGTTCGTGTATGCATGTACCAAATTTGGGTTGGACTGCATGGTAGAAATTGATTTTCATGAGATCTTGCTTCCCGAACTTTTAGAGAAACTAGTATTAATTCTGGCCTTATATTGCCATTCTGTGAAAGAGATGCAGTGAAAAGTGTTACTGGTTATACCTGCAAAACTGCCATTCTTCAGGATGAAGGGTGAAATTTTCATTAAGAATAGCTGCTTCATATTAGAGAAATTAGTCTTTTACCCCTTTAAGTGTGACATATTGCTAGTCTCCTTGGACAGAAAAAGAGAAACACTATGTCTGTGAAAGCACCTGATGGGGCTGTGATCTGAGCTTGTAGGAACCACCCATGGGAAATGGGACTTTTCCTTCATTTCAAGCTTTGCACTGTTTTTGTGTGTGTGTGTGTGTGTGTGTGTGTGTGTGTGTGTGTAGCTCTATGTTTGTATACGCTTGTGCACAAGCAGTTGGGTCAGAGGTGCGTTTTCGTGTCACTGCACAGCTGGGTAGGGGCGAACACCAGCGTTTGTGTATCTTGGAGCACTGATGTGCACCGCGGGGGGCACATGGGCATAATTTCTCATGGCCTGTCACACAGATCTGAGTGCATTTATTTATTTTCATCTGTGGATGTGCTTGAGTGTGTTAGACTGCATAGGGGTGCATATTTGCATAAGACCGTAAGTACACTGAGTATGCCTGTCACCTGGGAGGAGTTTGTGCAAGAACTGTTGGGGGGATGTGCATTGGCCACCAGCTGAGAGGGGTAGTGGGTACAGGGCAGACTCCCACGTGGTGTGGATTCCAGTGCATGCGTACCCTGTGTCTGTTGTAGGGCTGCATGTTTGCATGACCTTTGCTCTCTAATGGTTGTTTTTTTGTCTCGCTTTTTGTGCAATTGCTGCTCTGTTTTGGCTGTTATGTTTGTCACTGCAGTCATCGCCAGTCATGGAGGAAAAGGTAAATCCTATTGCTGCATCTTAACTTTGTTAATCCTAGTTTTGGAGGTTGCTGTTGAGTGGCAACCGTGTGGTGCTGGGAAGGTACTGTATTGGTGTGCTTGCCCTCTTTGTCTGCTGGCAGCTCTGTTGGCCTTGCTCAGCTGGGTGAGGCAGAGGGAGCCACCAAGCTGCTGGGATAATGCATCAGGAAGACGCTTGTTTACACAAACCTAGAAGACACAGGAGTTTGGTCCCAAAACAGGGTCAGTCCTCTGTGATTGGACAGTTACACTTCACACCCCAGAATGTTTTAAAAAGTCATCTTTTCTCCCTTATTTTAATGTGGAGTATAAGACATGCATATTTTCTGAGCAGGGCAGAAAGCACTTGTCACTGTTAATAGCTCTCTGAAGGCATTTCTGACTTTGGGCTAGCCAGTGAATTCAGTGCCGAGAGCCTGCAAAGAGAGCAGTTCTCATCTTTAAATGCTGGCAAAAAATCATAGTTTTGTTATGTTTTATAAGCTTTAGGATGTGACTTGTAGAGCATCCCAACCCCAGGTTTTGACTACTGCAAACATTTATTGTAACACAAGATGAAACTAACCTAGTGTTAAGAGTCACTCTGTACTGGAAAGAATTGGGTCTATGAAGGTTACTTCAACACTCAACATTTAGACTAGCCCTGAGGATACTCTTGAGTTCCTTTGAAGACTGATAGTCAACCCAGGACTGCAAAGCTGAAGTTAGCTTTTCTGTGGTGCTTGCTCCATCCCTTTCCCTGGCAGGTTTAGGAGAGGATGGAAGGTGTTTCCAAAGAAACTCAGCAAGAAAATTCCCTAACAATCTACATTAAAATCCTTTCCTGAAAATCCTACAGCTTCTGATACTATGGAGACTTTGGACCTCTGTTTAGCAGGGGCTGTGATGTTGATACATTCCCTGTACATTCAGTGGGGTGCTCTATCTCCTTGCATGCTGAATAATGTGCCTGTATTTGTATATGAATGTAGAAATAAGCTATGGATTCCCAAAAGAAATCTCATAGAGATTACCCAAAGAGGAAGTATAATTTAGTGTCTCTCTCAGCATATGTTTTGGATGGCTCCCATTTTTCAGTGCTGCCAGTGAGTTATGCAGGCCATCCCAGCACAGTCACAAAAGTGTTTATATAATAGCATGTCATGACTGCACTACTTGTTTTGAAAGGGATGTTTTGCAGTTACAGGAAATTTTCTCTAGCTACATACACGTGTGAAGCATGACTCCCTAAAGACCATCATTCTAACCTGAAGACAAGGAAAGATGTGAAACTAATGGTTAAAGCAGGTCAAAATATGGCTGATTTTTATTTTCCTTCCCTGAAAAGAATGATTCTTTTGAAGTAGACTCTTTTGGACCCTTGTGTTATTTCTTTAACTGTACAACTAGGAATTTTCTGTCTTTCTCACATAAAGTTTTGAATCTCTTCATCTCTTATACATAACTGACTATAGTTTTTGTGGCTTTTAGATCAGTACAGTGCCAGGGGTGAAGATTTCATATTAGGAGGAAAATCTCCCTAGTATGTTATTTAAAAACTTAAAACACAGCTGTTAGAAGCTTTCAGGTTCTTGGAATGATAGCAGTAGGATAAAGAGAGGTAAACGCAGGCAGACAGACAGAGGTAAGAGTACTTTGGCATCATGACCTAGTAGGAGCGTGTGTAAATGGCAGGGTAGAGGTCATAAATGGCAGTGGAATGTTTTCTGTTTTCTAGAAACCTTCAGTGGTTGTTAATGTTTAAAATAACAAGCACCAAAATGCCTTTTGAGTGGAAAGGCTACAAGGAAACTGATAATCCCTATCATATAGAATCTGGTTTTGAATCTGTTGAAAAATGATTGCATCTTCTCTATAAGAGAAAGTAAGGTTAATCAGGTTGTGTCAGTGATCTTTGTTCCTCTATAATCCAGTTATGTGCTGCCTTTGTGAAAGGATTTGTCTATGAAACTTGAATGTATGAGTCTTTAGGATCTTCAGGAGAGGATTTTAATACAGATTCCTAGGAAAAGTGCATCCCAAATCTCCTTGCTGGGCCACACTGGAAACACCTTTCTGCCTATCCAAGACAGGCCACAGCAGGCGGCTGTTCCTCAGCACGAGCGACACTGACACAGCTGTGGGGCACACCGTGTGGCCAGGCAGTGCTGAGAACGGGAGGGTTGGGCATTTTGGGTTTCTTCATAAACTTTGATCTTTTCTGCTAGATGCTCCACCTCTTTCCTTCATGCACCATCTCCTGTGTTAGTGTGTTTGCATACATCCTGGTGGGCCTTAGGTCCTGCTGTAGTGGCTTTGCCTGCAGTGGTGGGTGAGGTGGTTGTGCTGGTTGCTGAGCCTGGTCATCAGACCAACGCTGATGGTCATTAAAGAGAGGCACATGGAAGTCAACTGTTAATAATAGTGGCGTACAGAAGGATGGATTTCATCACCCTGCACCAATAAGTGGAAGCTCCATACCGATGTAGGAAAAGCACCATCATTGAACACCTTTGTGAGTGCATGTCACACAGAGGATCAGCTTAGTTCACCTCTGCAGGGCCACTGCAGAGTGGAGGCTGCTGGGGATATACCCAAAATGGATGTGTGCTCTGTCCCTGCAGGTCAGCTTCTCTGGCACAAAACCAGTTGCCAGTTTTGGCATCCTACGGCAGCCTTTTCCACCTCCACTGCTTGCTCTAGATTTTCCTGCTGGAACTTGGTCTCTATATTCAGAATCAAACCCACAGCTAGCTAGTCACCTGCAATTACCAGAAAGAAGAGGATGAAGAAAATGTAATTACAGACAATTTGCAAAATGATGATGCATTCATTTATACCTTTGTTTAATTTCTGAACTTTGAATGCATTGTAATATGGATATGGAGAGGGGAACAGAGAATACAAATATTTTTCTGGCTTAATATTGCAAGTGATCCAAACCCAACTGATTTCTGCTGTTGGAGGTAACCAGATTTGAAGTGGAATGTACAGAAGTGCCATGTAGATGACTCTTACTTAAAAGCCTCTTTCCTGACCCAGTGATGACACCTCTAGGATCTATGGGAGGTTTTGCTTTGAGAGTTGTTTGATGTGGCTTGTTTTCCCACAGTACCTTTGTTTCTCAGAAGATAGACTGACTTAAATTGGCTGATGGTTCCCTCCACTTTTGCATTCCCCCCAGACTTTTTGTCCTGATGTAGAAGTCAGTCATGCCTGTTGTGGTCACTTGATGCCTTCCCTCTTAGATTCCCCCTGGGAAGAGGTGGCTATAGCAGTAGATGCCATGAGTCTGAGTAAACAACACCATGGAACTGTGGGAGTTGGGAGTTCATGCAGCTGCTGCATGAGGGGAAGGAGTGCAATTAGATTTCTAGCAACTTATATTTCACATAAGCTAGTGTGCTGTTTCTTTTCTATAAGAACCATATAAGTGGCTAACAGATTGGTTTCCTCTCTCTCTCTGTTTCTCTGTTTAGCCGGAAGGAACGTCCTAACTCTCTGAATGTCTTCCCTCTCGCGGATGGCATGGTACGTGGGCAGATAGGGGCCAAGATCGTCCCAACACTGGACCACTGGCACCTGAGTGACCTCGGCCAGCTGCAGTCCAACTCCAGCTACAAGGTTTTATAGACCATCACGGAGCAAGGGTTTCCCACTCTCCCACTGTCAACAGCATTCCATGTTTTCATTAAGATGGAGACCAATATGTGTCCATAACCCTTTGCAGCCTCTCCCTGCTGTGTGTCTGCTCCCTTGGTAGCTGTGCTGTGGGAGGATATTCTTTTGCAGAGATGGCATATGGTGCGGGAGGGATTTGACACAGCTCCTCATGCTTCTTGTCTCAGTGATAATCTCCTTTACTTGGCTGGCCCCAAGTTGAGAGGAATGTGTGGGGAGGCAGTTAGAGATTTAGGGAAGATGAATCCTTCACTTTTTTATAGTATATTTGGGAGAGGAAATGGTGAACCTGTCCCCTCCCTCCCCCTCGCTAAGAGCAGTGCTTTTGCACCTCAGCTGGGACCAGGCATTGGGTTGCTCTTGCTTTCCAGTGTTTGTCCTTTTTGACTGATCACTGTTCTGGTCTTCCTGTCTTCAGTAAAAAGGTCTCCTAATCCTCTCTGAATACCCAGGTCTTGCACTGTGCTTAAAGGTCTTCAGTTCCTCATATATCTCGTCATTGCTCTAGACTTGCATTGTCTATCTTCAGTACACTTGTCACCTTCAATTCATTGCTTTCTGCCCTGGGGCTTGACAGAAAACTCACCGCACTGCAACTGCACTGAAGCAGCTGCATGGTTCTGCCTGTTGCTTGTGGTGCTCTGCTCTGCCGTTCAGAGACTGGTCTGAGCCCAAGGACCCAGATGTTGTGCTCTTGGCTGACAGCTCACTGCAGTTGTTTAGTTTAGTCTACACATGATGACCCACATTTCCTATGAGCTATACTTGTAGACTTCTCAAAGTATTTGTGCTCAGGATACCACCAAATTCCTCTCTGTGAATGATGTTCCACAAATGCCTAGTGGCAGGCCTGAGAGGCAGTGGTACATCTACCCAGGCTGGCTTACAGTTTGTCTCAGAGAGCTTCTGGTCTGCTTTAAAAGTGTCTGGTAAAATTTACTTTCTTTATGCCTGGAATTTGTAGAACATCAGGTGTTCTATGTCACATCTAAGGACTGGTCTCCTATTGAGAAGTTGTAAATCACTAATCCTGTAAAATACATTGAGGCAGTAAAGGAAAAGAGGAGGGAAAAAACCAAAGAAAGAAAAAACCCAGCTTGTTGCTGTGCCCATTCTGCATGTCTCCAGATTACATTAATGGTATTTTGGCCTGAGGGAATCTGCAGAAGTGGCCTTGATGTGTAGCACAAGAAATTTAGACAAATTAAAAGTTTATGCAGAAAAGAAAGTAGCAAATACCCTTTTTGGTAAAGTAGCCAGGCCTAGCACAGCACAAACTTTAGCACTTTGTCAGCCCTCTGCCATCATAGAAGTTGGAAATCCAAAAGCAAGATCTTTGGATAGGGCAGAGATGTTCTTGGAACCCAACCCTTGCTGTAGTGTTAGAGGCACAGAAGTTTGGGAAACAGAGCAACTTGCAGAGTGCCAAGCAGGTGCTACAGCCATTTCTGGAGAGCTTTGCCTGGAATTAGGGAATGGCAGTTCCACAGTGTAATAACGTAATTAAGGATGGTAGAAGCAAATACAGAGCATGAATGTGTTTCTTCAGACTAGTGCCAGGTCAACACAACACTGCTGCAGGGACACAGCAAACAAAATGCACAGAGACCAGCCCACTTCTGGTTCTGGAACCAGTGTATTTCATGAGATCTCTAGGCAGTGCTGTACACTATGATGTGAACATGCCCTCGAGCTCTCTAGCGATCAGGTGTGTGCATCAGGGGTTAGTTTTTAGAGAAGAGCTGGGAGGACATTAGGAAGATCCATCTTCCACAGTCTTGCTAAGGCATAATTCTTCAAGAAGTGGTACTATTACAGAACTTCTGAAAGAAGTTGAGTGGATGTCGCTGATAGCCCAGCATCTGCATTGCAGAGTAATGCAACAGGCACCCGGATAAATTGGGAGCTTTGGCGTCCAAGTTCAGGTAATGGAGGGTTACTGGCTGGATCTCTTGGTGATTTGGTGGTGCTGGTGTCAGGCAAAAAAATCAGTTTCTAGTTAGAAGAAAGCTTTGTGCAGCAGTAGTGGTGTGCTGCTCCAAATGTATCTGATGACAGGTAGTGCTGGGATTTGTGTTGGTGCTTGTTAGGGAAGCTCAGAAGTGGGATGCTGGGTTTAAGGATGCTCCCCGGTAGGGTGGAGTTAGAGAGCTTGGGCTGTGGAAGACTTGGATGGGGCAGTGTGTTACGGAGGATTTCTTAAGAGTATGGAGCAAACCTCTGAATAATTAAATGATGTGATTGATTGATTGACTTACTAGATTTGTAATTTGAAATGGGGATTTTCCTCCTGCAAGCTTCTTGCACACTCTCTAACTGGAATGCTATTTCTTAAATATTTTGCATGACTGAAATCTCAGCAGTATTGCTCATGCATTCCCCGCCTCTTCTTCAACAGCTCTGATATTTCACTGACATCAACTGCACACACATGACTCACCTTCCCAGTATGTATATCCTGACTTTTCTGACTAGTTTTCCTTCTTCATGGGGCCATATTATAGTTTTATTTTTTATATTTTAAGTGTCCTTGTATACTTATTATTACTATTTTCTGTTTTAGTTGCTGTCATTATATTATTTTATTTTTACATTCAGTTGTACATTTATTTTATATAATGTTTTAGAGATGAAAGTCCTTAACTTGTTTGTTTTTATGTACTATGCTTTCAGTGTTATAACCATACAATTGTGGCTTCTCATGGTGACATATGACTGCTATGAATGTTGGGCCTTTGCAATGCATTTTGGAGGTCACTACTACACATTTGATGTTTAGGAGGTTGACAGGTATGGTTGTAGGTAAGTGGTGGTTGTGGAGAGTATTCTTTGGGTGAGGTATGGGTTATGGAGAATGCCTCCTATGCTGTAGAGGAGAGATGTACACGTAGTGGAATACTTATCATTAACAAAGTGCTCAGGATAATAGAAGGAAGATACCAGCAAAGATTAATAGAGCTTCTAGACTGTGAAGAGGAGCATGTAGTAGTATTTATGTTTGGGAGGAATTTCTCCAACACAGGCTGGTAGGTTGATAAAGTATGTTTTCTAGGTAAATATAAAACTTGGATGTATAATCAAAGAATAAGTGAAAGACCACAGTAATTACTCACTAGTGTGTTCTGAGTGGGGCAGATTATGTCAATAAACAAGAAGTTACAGGGTACTCTGATACAAATATATTGCCCTATAGACACTGATGATACAGGGGTTCTGAATAACATCTAGTTCCTAAGAACAGGGAATGAAATGTGGACCCACCTGGGTGTCTCTCTTACAGTGCTAAGATGTTCATGGACTTTGGTTATGTTAAGGATTTACAGTGGGTACAAGAACATTTCTGAATCCTTTCATCCAAGAGGTGTTTTTGGGGAAACATGTTTTATGGTTGCACTTCATACTTGATACTCTTTGTCCCTTTGTACATCAGAAAGCACAGCAAGCAAACTGCAGTTGAAGTAGTACAAGGCTTACTGGACCATATTTGTTCTCAGAACAAACCTGGTTTGTTTTTTTTTTCCTCTTTACATATTAGGAAAGTAGCTCCTGAAACAGGGATATGAAGTAGAGGTGGGAAGTGTGGTTTTTCATATGTAGCATCCTAAGTGAAAAGTCCCCATCTCAGTCTTGATGCTAAAATCAGTAAATGTACAGGGAGATGATCTGAATGTCCATGTGGGAATGTGGGTGCTGTTTGGACTGACAATGCAGAAACTATGTACAAAATGTGGATCATATTTAATGGTAATGGAGTTTTAAAATATCTTAATTTCCAATATAAATGCACAGATGCAATGTAAAACCTTTGACTTTCACAGTGCAGTGTACAGCAGGGTATTTTAAGATAAACATTCAGAGGCCAGTCTAATTAAAGGAAGATCTTAAGATTCCAGATTTTTTTCAAAAATATGGCTGCAAAGGGTTAAGTCACCATTTTTATCAGTCTTCTCTCTCATCCCATATTGATTTTTGTCATGTTGTGAAGTTATTATTAGACCAAGAGAACGAGACTTCCGCATTAGTGAAGTGAAACAGCTCCAAGGTTGGGAGGCTCAGAGCAGCCTCTGAGCAGAATCAGGCTCTTTCTAGTACTTGCACAGGAGGGGAGAGGCAAGTAGTAAAGATTAAAGCTGGGATTGGATGTGCAGATGCTGGATGTCACTGCACCCAGTTGCAACTCATTATCACATATAACTCTCAACATGAATTTTGTCATCTCCCTGCGGGCAGTAATTAGAGTCGGCTGCTGTGAAGAATGGGGAGATCTTGTTTGCGGCTGGGAGTATTGGTCAAGATGTTAATTGGCTGACTGTGAAGCAGTGGTGCTTTAGCTGACAAACAAGGGCCACCGTATAAAATTCTGACAGAGCCTTGAGAGGTTCCCATGTTTTTCAAGAGGTGGTATTACAAGAAATGGGGCTGTCATGTCTGTAGAACAGAGCCATTTGTGTGCATTTCACACTGGGAATCCATCTCCTATGTTAAATTTGTCAGCTTCAGATTTTTGAATTCTTGGGTCATGTTGTCCTGTCATTTGAAAGTGGGGAGAGCACACGTGTTTCTCCTGCGCTGTCAGTCTGGACCCATGTCTGGCTGGCTTCTGTGCAAGGTGGTGTGGGACACAGGTCTGTGCTGGTGAGGTCAGACCATCCTCCTAGCTTGGTATCTGCTTTGCTTCTGCAGTTTAGTGTCAAAACCACTTGGCTGTTCTCTCATCCAGGTTGTGTTGATGGCTTATAGGTCTTGGATGATGTCATTACTGTAAGAGGCCACTTCAGATCCTTCCCAAGCAGTATTCATGTTGCCTTCCAGTCTTGGGAAATGCTGGCCTGGCTTACACGAATCCCAAAGCCCTTCAGCTTCCACTGTAGTCAGTGTGAGCTGCAGGTGCTTTTCACTTATGATCAGGCCGCCTTTCCCGAGATGCATGGCGATGAATCACATACTGATGTGATTTGTGAGGAACAGTGTTTAGTAGTAAAGGAGAAAGGATACCAGGCCTTTCACAGGTGGGATTTGCTTGCTGAGTTCAGCACGAGAACTCACTGCTTCATTGTGGTTGCAGTGCCTGCTGTCACTGGCAAGCGCTGGTACAGCGAGCAAGACTCATTCTCCATAATGTTTTAAGGCAGCCATACACCAACAAATGGGAGATTAATTGAAATATATAGCTTTGCTTTTCCCTTTTTGTTCTTCCCTCACTCTGGAATTGCCATAGTGCCCCCAAGATGAAATGTCCGAATCTGGGCAGTCCTCAGCAGCTGCCACACCGAGTACCACTGGAACCAAGTCCAACACTCCCACATCATCTGTGCCCTCTGCTGCTGTCACACCCTTGAACGAGAGCATCCAGCCTATCAGCGAATATAATGGCACGACCAAGAGCAATAAGAGGGCACGAGAAAAGCGGAACAGCCGGAACATGGAAGTCCAGGTCACGCAGGAGATGAGGAATGTCAGCATAGGTATGAAGGTGGAGCTTGGGTACTTGGTCATTAAAGTAATTGACTTCCCAGTGCTTGTGTCCCTCTGTTACAGGAAGAGGCTGGGAGACTGAGAGGTATAGCATAGAATTTGAGGTAGTCTTACTTACAAGGATATGTGAACGAGACAGTGCAAATTGCATGTTAGCTGTTTTCTGGGTAGCAAATTTCAAAAATGTCAGTAATACAAATGGTTTCACAAATATACAGGATGAAAATAGGTTACTGAGTTCTGTCCCCTGCAGTTGCATTCATGCATGTCACAGAACCTCTTTCATGAACAGTCAAGTCCCATCTAAGTCTAACCTAGCTTTTGGAAAGCTGTTTCTGGATCTCATCAATGTGATAGTTAAAAGCTTCCATTTAGTCTTCTTTCTGGACTTCTGTTCATAAGTATTTTATATCCTGTTGTTCATATGCCAAATTTGTCAGTGAGATGAAATAATTATTTTCTGTTCTGTGTGTTTATCCACACCTTGATGTATTTAAAAATAGCAATTATATCCAGCTGTTTTTCTCAGCTAAGTAAGCTATTTTCTTATAGTTTATTTCTCATACAAGAACCCCTCCAAATCTTTGGAAGTTATAGTTGTTTTCCCTCCACTTCCTGGAGTCCTTTAGTAATTTGAATTAATGATTTCTTGTCAGGAAATCCATCACCTAAGCCTTTAGCACCATGCTGTTTAAATAAAGAAAGTGGTGCAATAACATGATGAAAGCCCCTTTCTGTGGTTTTTAATGTAGCTAATCCAATGTAGTGTCTGAGCAACTCCCAGCCTGTATTGTATTTAGATTCTCAAAGGCTTTCAGAAAGGAGAAGTGGCCTGTTTTACTGGTCATGAACTTACATGCAAAAGGACTGTAGAACTAGCCGAAGATCATAAGGAAAATCTGCAGGAGCACAGGCATGAGCCTAGCTCTCTGAGGTTAGCATCTAAACCATCTTTTTTCCTAAGTAATACAGAGGAAATTCCTCTGCTAACATTCACAAGCTGGTTCCTAACAAATTCAGACTATAAACCAACATGTTAGCACCTTTTGTTGTAGGATTTTAATGAGAGTTGCTGCGACTAAGTGCCATTCTGTATTCGTATTAGCAGCTGAGGGGGTTCCAGGGTCACAGATGTCAATGTACCAGAAACTAGTGTAATTCTCCATAAAAATGTATGGCTTCTGTGTACCCAGCTATTAAATTGTGGTGTGTTCAGTGATCCTGGCCAAGGCAAGTCAGTACAAGCATTGGTATCAGAGAAATTGAGCACGGATGTCAGTATTTTGAATGACCTATAAATACTTACCCTTGTTTTTACAGTTGTTGCTTTACAAGCTTGTTTACAAGCTTTCTTGGGTCAAAGTCTGCTTTCTTCTGTATATGTGCAACTCAGAAGTCATCGTACATGTGAAAGCTTCTTTCTCCTTGGTGGAAGTATCATATTGTGGAGTCTGGTCAAGGCAGATGGTTGTATCTTTCCTGTGCTCAAGGCAGATAGTTGTATCATTCCTATACTCTGCATATTCAAACTTTCAGCTATTTCTCACACATAACGCAAAATCAGATCTCCATGCTGAGCAGAAACACAGATACTTGAATTTTAATTATGTATTTATGCATCTGTAATTCAAATGTCTCTCAATGATGCAAATGCCTTAGAGATGAACTACCAAAAGAAGGTACTCAAAGGTATTTGCAGAAAAGCTTCCCAGCTTGAAAAAATAAAGAAAAGGAAGCTTCTTTTTCTGTGAGCTTGAGAACCACTGGTGTAGGGATGCCTACTTTGGCAACAGATACACATCATGCTTTGTCTTAAAACATGGCATTTGTTGCCAGCTGGTGCACAATGCCAGCCTAAAAGAATAAAATCAACACTCAAGTTGTCATGGGCTTTGTATTTTTGGCTACTGAGGCAGTTTGGAAAGGTCAGAAATTTCACATCTAGCATTGCTGAAGAACTAATATAGTTTACAAATTAGGTCTTTAATCCTTCAAGAATTTCTTGCGTGAACAGGCACTGTGCTCATATTGCTTGTTTAGAATAGGTGCATGTCTGAGCTTTTCAGCAGTTTGGTATCTAAGAATTGTGACTTGTCAAGAGGAAGAAGTTCCTTTAAATATTGGCTTCAGGCTGTAGATTATACAGAAACCAGAGCAGATTTCATGTGTTGGTTTTCAAGTGAAATTTCACTGTAATGGGTTTATAAACCAGTTGCAAATTTGAGAACTGGTATGGAAAAATTATTTCTGTTAAAACTAAGTAGTGCTAATTCATAACTACAGTAATCTCTATGAAGCTATCCAGAAAATCACTTTTGTTGTCTTTGATCTCAGCTAAAGCTGCATGGTGATTGAAGAGTTTTTATGGAGAGATAAAAAGTTTATTTGGAATTTATTTTATTGGATGAAGTATTTCTGGTTATCACATTTTAGTGAGGATTCAGGCCAATAACTTTGGTGACACTCTGTTAGGGGG